CTCTAAAACCAATTCTATGTAAAACAGAACATTTAGAACCAACCAACATCATCAAAGGTTTTTTCTGCGTCCAGAGATAGAATTACACTTTTATTTTTGTTTTGTTGTGAAGTGTAATTTAATTTAAAAATGCTGCACGTTATCTGAGGCATATCTTTTTTAAACATCCTGTTTGTTCTTGATGAATTAAGCAGAGTTGTATAAAGTACCTCAAAAGTGATGCTTGAGTAAAAGTACAAGTATCTTATCATAAAAATACTTTGGTAAAAGTTAAAGTCTTCTCTAATCATTTGAGTAAAAGTCTTAAAGTGTCTGATATTTTTTGTACTCAAGTATCAAAAGTAAATTTCTGACACAAAATCTACTTAAGTATTAAAAGTAAAAGTACTGAGTAAAAGTGAGTACCGGTAGTTAGATTTTTTTAATGACATTTATTGGAGGTGACTTCTCCAAAAAAATTTTAACAGCGTGCAGCTGTGATGGGTTGTGTACAAACTAATGGGGTGTCAGAATGGTATATATTTATACTTCTCATCCAACCACAATTAAATTCACTCTATCCAGGAGACACAATTTATCAGGATAGTATTTTTTAAGTAATAACAACTCGGAATAAAATAGGAGTAACAGCTTTCTACTTCTTACCCTTTTTAAAAAATGTAGTGAGTAGAAAGTACAGATAATTGTGTAAAAATGTCATGAGTAAAAGTAAAAAGTACGCTGAAAAATAATTACTCAAGTAAAGTACAAATACCCAAAAATTCTACTTAAGTACAGTAACAAAGTATTTGTACTTAGTTACTTTACAACTCTGACCATATTATATATCTATATTATAAACATCAAGTTTTTATTTTTATGAACCGTTCCTTAAATCTGCAAGCTAATATGAGGTAAACACTAAACACAGAAGTACTTGTGGTTTTGGAAGAAAAAAAAAAACGAGAAGTAGTTTGTAGTCATTGTCAGACCTGGCTTGTTAAAAACGTTCCATTATGAAGTTGCACTCATCCTGCTGAGAAGTGAAACGCTGGCGTCAAGGAGCTGTGAGGCAGCCTTGCACTCGGGTGGACCACTCACACCAACGGTAACGCACCAGACTGCTGCCGCTGATTGCTGTCAACCTCAAAACCTATGGGTGTGGAAACGAATTTCACACCGTAATGCTTCAGTGACAGCACAAATTAGAAAACCGAAAAGAGACGGGAAACACACACCGCCAGAAACGAGGGAGATATCAGAGCGGAGTAAGAAAAAGACAACAACATAAGTGGCTTATGCAACATCGGTGTTGTGGGTTATATAACCAGGGCTACCTGGAACAMATTTAATTGTGCGTGTTGTTGCGTGAATTGACTGATGTGTGTGTGGTTTTCTTTTTTTGTTTGTGTCCTCCTAGAGTCTACACCTTATGCACAACTACAACACACTAATGGCAGTGGTGGGAGGACTGTGTCACAGCTCAATCTCAAGACTGAAAGACACAACCTCACATGTACCGAGCGAAGTCACCAAGGTAACGGTTAAAGTTCTCATGATCATACTTCCCCTCCCCCTGTATTGTATTGTGTTACACCTTGTGGCTCAACAGAACACCGCTGATTTGGAAAAAACACTATTTGCTCCTCTATGACCTGTGAACTTTATGTCCTCCTGTCAAATTTGTCAACATGACTGCACATGTCTACGACTACACAGAATAAATGAAACATGGCATTGCCTTTGCATGTTTACATCCAACAATAAATGTTAGACGTTGCCAAAGGCTTTCACAAAAAGGAACATTTTATGTTGGGTTTTATTGGTGGGTAAAGATTTGATGTGCTTGAACTCAGTAGGCGGACAATTCCAGAGAGGGGAAATGGGTTTTGTGTCTTTTTGTCACAGTAGCGAGTCTAGCTTAAGTGTTTTCACTAACTGAAGATGGGACCCCCAGTTGCTAGCTGTGTGAGGTTCTTACAGTGGTCACCCCACAGCCAGAGGTGTGCAGAGGTCGGTTTAAGTCAGCAGCTGGAAGAAATGGCCTTATTTTTCATCCTCAGCAGAAAAAAAATAGCTGAAATGAACATTTTTGACTTGTGGATCAAAACTGAGTTTTGAATGAAATACTGTATTCCTCCCAGATTCCCAACAGGGGTGATGTTGTTTGATAGACAGTCAAAACTGGAATCAGCGAGGCTGAAAAGCATCTGACTTAATAGAGAATTACAAAAAGATCTTGGCTGTCAAAGACGATGTCAGAAACTATCAGATTAGCTGGGATCAAGTGGTAAAATAGATGTGTGCAGTTAAATATCATCTGCTGTTAAATGTTAAAAAAAGGGCTCTGAATAAGCTGGCCAAGAGGCACCATGTAAATTGAAAAGGGCCCGAGAAGAGATCCCTGAGGTGAACCACAACTCTGTTGAACTACTGAGAACTTTTGATTATTAAGAGTGATGACAAAGGTTATGTTTGAGAAGTATGTGTGTTAAATTCACAGCAGAATCCTTAATGCTAACCATGAATCTTGGCCAGAGGTGCCCAAAGTGGGGCCTGYGGGCCAAATTTGGCCTGCCAAGCTATTTGATTTGGTCCACCAGCAGCTTTAGCAGGTTGTAACCTGTCATCTTATGTAGAAACACAGTATTTCCACTTAGTCATTTCATCCACTGGTCCAATGAATATAGGAGGCTGAAGAGCAGATAGTTTTCACTCATGGTGCTGACGTTATCTTTGATATATTGAGACCAAACATAAAACATGAAATACAAGTAACAAGGGGAAATATTTAGATTACATCTAACCACACATGTAGATTTGCACACTTTATAAGACCAAAAAAAAAAACATATTTTATCAGTTTATGAAATGTCCCATGAGCCTTTGCTGCTTGAGCAGACTTTCTCCAAGAGCACAGACTAAAACAAAAGTGGGCCACTGCACTGGCTGCTAGCCTAATCATTAAAAATACAGGATTTTACTTTAAAAGTATTTGTATTTCATGTATTATATTACTGCATTTGGCCCGCAGCTATGGATAGATTTTCATTTTGGCCCTCTTGGGGAAAATGTTTGGGCRCCYCTGCTCTAGGCACTGCAAGAGGATGATTGACAGCATCAAAGGCTAGTGTAAAAAAACTTGTTGAGCTTTAGAAAGCACGGTCAAGTGCATTTTTTGCAACYCAGACTATTGCATAACTTCTTTAGCAGTTTGATCTGCTACTAAATGGTTTGAGTATATACCACGAAATATTTATACTTAGCAAAAAAAAGAAATAAATTTAGGTTTGGTAGATTATTTCTTTGYTGTAACAATGMTTCGTGACAATAAGTTTTATACTRGACGTCTGTTTGGCAGCACCTRGGGGTACAAGMATCTCAAAACAAGTGTCACTAACAAAAGAAAATAAGCTGTTTGAAGGAGAAGATTTGGCAAATTTTTGAAATGCATAACATTACTGCTCATCACACAAATGCATATTCCTTACAAATGTGGCACCATTTAAAAGGGAAATTAGGCCATCGATATTTCCAATAATATAAGATTTATTGCCAAGAAACATTGTTACAACAAAAAAARCATCTATCAAACACAAATTTCCTTACTTTTTGTACTAAGTTAGGTTAGATTACACCAAGAGAATGAACAATTGTTTTGCAGTTCAGCAAAAGCTTCAGCAAAAAGCAAATTCCCCTTTTCAATCCTGACATGTTAAATGTATTCTAGGGAACTAACWAATTTAAAATTAGAATATTTTATGTTAGAACATCATGTCCTTTAAATAAATGTGATATCAATTTCATTTAAGTTTTTTTTTTTTAAATTAATTCTAAACTAAATTTCCCAGGTCCTGAACGAGATGACAGACATGCTGTCCTCCTGCAGAAACTTCGACAACTACAGACAAGCTTACAGCAGGTGTACGGGTTTTAAAATCCCCATCCTCGGTGTCCACCTGAAAGACCTGATTTCAGTCAACGAGGCCATGTCGGACTACGTGGAAGACAACAAGGTGAACGTGCAGAAGCTGCAGGCTCTCTACAACCACATCAATGAGCTGATCCAGCTTCAGCAGATCCGACCCAAACTGGACGCCAACAAGGACCTRGTTCATCTCCTGACGGTAGAAAACTATTTAAAATGGGAACTTTTGATTCTTATGTAGTGATGTTTTCTGTAGCTTAATCGAATTTGCCAAGTTGTAAACACATACATAAATGCAAATGAGCACAGTACAGCATGTAGACTGTCTGGTGTGGGTGTGATGAGAGTCTATGATCTATGAGTGTGTGGGTAACAAACTGAATGTGAATGAGAGTTCCGATGGCTGTATTGTTCTGTTTTCTCTTTGCAGTGTTTTAATCATACTTAAAAGGACAGAATGTCCATGAGATTTAACAATTGTCCTGCAAGCTGGATCTGCTCTTATCAAAACATGTTTCAAGGAGAAATCATGGGATATGGACAGCTCATTCTTTTTTCTTTTTCTTTCTTTCTTTTTTTTTTCATTTACCCATTCACGTGTTGATGTTATTCTCTCCTACAGCTGTCCTTGGACCTTTACTACACCGAGGACGAGATTTATGAACTGTCTTACGCACGGGAACCCAAGAACTGTAAAGCACCTGTGAGTGATGAAACCTTGCTTTAAAGATGCTTCCTCATTACAATTAAAAAAATAACCTCTTTAACTCAAGGGTTGTAGATGATGGAGGACATCACCAGTGGCTAGATGGAGGACATCACCAGTGGCTAAGCAAATCTACCTTTTAGAACATTGTGTTTTTATTAAAGTTAGATCAATAAAAGATGAGAACTGAGTCATTTTATGTCCAAAGACACCAATATGGTTCGAATGGACAATGAGATCTCTTGCCCATAGTTTTGGTGTAGATGGGTGGTGTTTAGGTGTTTGCAATTTGCTATTCAAATTACAACCTACGCCCAACAACTGTAAAGGAGAAAACTTYAGCAGGGAATATGTTTGTTGCTTTGTTTGATCTCTGGACATTTTTTGTACAATTTGTCAGCAGCAGGTTAGCTTCCTGGCTCAGTGTGTAAAAACTGTCTCGGATTCTTTTCTTATTCATAGCACCTAATTTTAATGTGTTTTATAAGTTTAAAGGGGCAAAATTATGTGTTTCTCAGGCATACATTTAAATACTATACCATAATGAAGTATCTACTGTATGTCACCTTTAGTTGATATTAAGATGCTGTTTTTATGTTTAAATAGAAAATAAACTTATCTTCTCATCACTTCCTCTTCTAAACGCCTTGAAATTGGCCTCTGTCTCTTTAAGAACCTCCTGTTTCTATCCCGTCCCGTTCAGTACAGGGGTGTTTGCGCACGGGGGGCTCATGCACGCGGGGGGTGTCGCATGTGCACTATGATGCAGTTTACTTGGCATCTGAAAATACTTTTCCTCAAAGGTATTTTGAATCTGAAAAGTACGGAGCCCGCGAGGGGACATGGGAGATTTTTTTCTTTTGCTTTCCCACGCAATAGTATTGTGTTAACTTGCAGTACCTTTTGCGTTCCCTCGCAAAAGTCATTTATCACTGTTGTACCTGCTGGTTTATTAACACATTCACGTGTTCACCATTAACGTGTTAGCCTACAACTGTAATTCAGCTTCAGAATGAATACATCACACAAACACGCATGGAAGTATGTCATATGCCGATATTTTAACACAGTGCAGCCAC